TAAAGTAACGGGATTACTTTTTGGGGGAAGTAATCAGTAATTAGTTACTGATTACTTTTTTCAAGTAACTTGACCAACACTGGTCATTAGAAACCAGGTGTTTTTGTAACATGTCACATTACATGTGTTTATCTAACTTCAGTATAGCTTAATATATATATAAATATATATTCATATTCACAGTGAAGCACTGTTCTGTACTTGTTCTGTAATATTTTCTGCATAGTTTAAGGTAAAGTGGATAAATTGAATTTTATTAATACGCCTCTGTTCTATAATGAAGGTTAGCCCTCAGGCTGCAACTACGTAACATATGTCCCCGAGTGTTTGTAGCCACAGGCTATTGGTCATATGGCCTCTTAGCTGTGTTATAGGTTTCCTGTCAAACGCAACAGTTCATTGGACTGGAACATTAGAGTCAGAAGAGGTGAAACGAGCTAATTAGTCTGAGTCTACTCTACACATTGATTCATTCAGTGTTTCAGTCTACAGTATTTAGTAGCACGTTAGCATTAAAGGACTGCAGTAATGCTGTAGGTGAAATAATAATGCAAAACACATCAAACTGAGAGCTAATTAAACAGTCCTGTTTTTACAGCTAGGAAAGCTCTGCACATGATGTAGGTGTTTGTTTTTGCATCTGTTGTTTAATCAAATACTGAGTCAACGGAAATTTAGCCACTTGAAAGAATATGTCAAGTACATGAAACATAAATATACTGATGTAGAAAAAATAGGATAGAATAAAAATGTTAACATACAGTAAGCTTAACATTTTACATCTAAAATTGATCTAAAACATTTTAAATCAAATATGTAAGCCTTACATTATCCTGTCCTACATAAAAGTAGTAATAAAGTAAAGAATTGATGAAGCAAGTCTACTCATACACACCGGGGTATGCAGCTGATTTACAGTCTCTGCTGTCAACCTTAGAATGCCACTGCTCTGCAGTTTGGTCAAATATTTTTGTGCTTCTTGAAGTTAATCTCTAAAATTCAACAACTTGAGATGATGATGAAAATAACGCTTGACACTGATTCTGCATCCTCATGCTGTGAAAGGAAAACCTCCTCTGTAAGTGATAATGTTAGATCAAACAGAGATATTTTATGTAAAGTATGCCCATCCACTGTAATTAGCAGCTTTGTACCCTTAGGTTATTCCTGCTCTCTCAGCTGGAATGAAGGTATTGTGCTGCATGTACAGGTATGTGATGAGATGTGTGCTTCAGTGGGGTACAAAGGTAGCATAGTGATAAACGATAGCATACTAGGTAATAACAGTTTGATGCTTCC